CTCAGCTTGTGCTTCCCCACTCACAACTGGGAGGGAGGGGGTGGCGGGGTCTGGCTGCCACGAGGCAAGTTGGTGGTTAAGTCCATCTGAGAAAAATGAAGGCAAAGTGTTGTTCTCTATGTACTACGCGTACAAGTAACTGCAGGGGGCATTTTTGGCCCTGTCAAATGTAATACTTGTTTATTTATCTATTTTTTATTTTTGTTTGTTTTTTGTTAATCCTCTCCTGAAGATACTTTTCCATTGATTTTTTTAGAGACAGTAAAAGGAAAGAGGTTGGGGGGAGAGAAAGAGAGAGAGAGAGAGACATCGATGTGAGAGAGACACATCGATTGATTGCCTCCTGCATGACCCTGGCCAGGGCCAGGGATTGAACCTGCACAACTCGGGTACGTGCCCTTGACCGGGAATTGAACGCCTGACCCTTTGATCTTTGGGCCAATGCTCTAACCACTGAGCCAAACCAGCCAGGACTAATACTTGTAAATACTGGCTAGAAAATACTGATAAGCAAAGTGAAGAAAATTTAAAAACCAGCTGTACCCCAGCACTCAGATAAAAGCCCTCGGGGTGGGGCAGAGCCTCTGCCTGGGCCCAGATGCCCACACAGACAGGCACGTGCTTCTCTCCTCGTAAAAGCAGGATCTCAGGAAATATTCTGGGATAATATGCTTTTAAAAACTACTGCTGGCTATTTCGTGAAATAGCATTTCACACCAGCACTGCAAGGGCTGCACGATAGTTCATTACAACACTCTGATCTGGGGCTTAAATCAAACAACTCTGTTTAACAAAATATTCTGATCTGAGACAACCTTGATGTGACAACATAATGTGTTCTATTAGGGAGGTGGTAGTAACATTTTTACTAGAGAAATAACTATCTTCCTTTTTAAAGTATAGGCTGTTGGAATTTTAGTTCTGAGTTTTGTTTTCGGGTTGTGAAACCAACACATGAATTCTGCAGGGTAAGCAGACATCTGGTATTACAAAATATAAAAGTAAAAATTCCCTCTTCCTTCTACCCATTCCACACTGCCCAGAACTGACTATGAGAATAGTTTGCTATGTCTGTCTTCCAAATATTTATAAGGCAATTCTAAATACATGGGATATGTAATCACACACCCATACAACTTAGGTACATATATAGATACACAAATACCCATATACACATACATATACGTACATACGGTGTACATATATATGTATAACACACACACATATAATGAAAATGATGATATGCTTTTACTGGTTTTTAGAGAAGAGGAAGGGGGGAGAGAGAGGGGGAGAAATATCAATGTGAGAGAGAAGCACTGATTGGCAGCCTCCAATTTGTACCCTACCAGGGATCGAACCAGCAACCTAGGTATATGCCCTGACTGGAATCAAACCCACAACCTTTTAGTGCACGTGGTGATGCTCCAATCAACTGAGCCACATGCCCAGGCTCCTTTTTTTTTTTTTTTTTTAACATTTCCTGCTCGTAGAATCAGAACAGCTGAGCAGTGGTCCTCAACCTGTGGGTTGCAACCCCTTTGGGGGTTGAACGACCCTTTCACAGTGGTCGCCTAAGACCATCGAAAAACACATATTTCCGATGGCGATTTATAACAGTAGCAAAATTACAGTTATGAAGTAGCAATGAAATAATTTTATGGTTGGGGGTCACTACAACATGAGGAACTGTATTACAGGGTCACGGCATCAGGAAGGTTTGAGAACCACCGGCTTAGAGACACTACTGATTTTGTATAAGAACACTCAAAATTCACTCTGGGTTAGACTGCAGCTCCATCCATCCCAGTGTGTCTGAGATGGCTCCAGAGACAGTTGGGAACAAAGACATCCCCCTCATCCATCCATGGCTGTGTCCTCAAAAGGTGAACATACTTGGCCTTCCATTAGACAACCTACTATGGATTCTTCTTTGATTCCAAATCCTTTTCAGTGGTCATTCCAGCTATGTCCATCTTGGAATATCAAGTCTCTGGTGTTCATGCATACAGTCCTAATGAATTTCTTTTTCCATGAAACTACCTCCTTGAATCATGGCTCCTGTTCTGACATTCTAGGGCAGGGGTCAGCAAACCGCAGCTTAGCGCCTGTTTTTGTAAACAAAGTTTTACTGGAACACAGCTGTATCCATTTGTTTACATACTGTCTATGCATTTTTCCACACAACAGCAGCAGAGCGGAATAGATGCAAAGAGACAGGAGAGCCCACAAACGTAAAATACTATCTGACCCTTTCCAGAAAAGCCTACAAACCCATGTTCAAGACTGTTTTTTCCCTGCCAAAAATTTGGAGAACTTGAATCACACACCCCATGTCCAGTGTTTTTGTCCTGGCTAATGTGTTTGTTTTCTATTAGAATACAAAGGTAAATCACCCTGGCTCTGCCTGCAGCCGTGGTGTGCTGGTGAACCTCTGACAACGTGCTGAGTGGCGAAGCCCTGACTTAGAGCATTTGCAGAACTCCGTGGTGTAAATATACCCATAATGGCTTACTTACAGCTAAAAAATGTGATGCCACCGAACACAGAACTGGGAAGAAATGCATGCAAACCAGCTCCAGCAAAACACTGGCTCCTTCTGACATCTGCGAAGTCCCAAACTGGGACATCCATGGCCCAAGCCATTTAAAGACGAAGACTGAGGCCCAGAGAAAGTGTCTTGCCCAAGACTGCCCTAGTGACTAGGACGAGGGAGGGACTCATTTCCCTGTGGAGTCTGGCTGCCTCACAGGGAGTGACCTCCTCCATAAAAGAAAGAGTAGAGGAAGAAAGGCAAAGGAAGTTCTTTGCTAGGCACATGGTAATAACTGTTGGTTTTATTATCTTCACAGTTTGGGACTCTGGCCCACACACCTGGAAGGGGTACTGTTCTTCACACAGGACCGTGCTTCCTGTGAACACTGGCTGTACGCTGTCTCAATTAACCAGGAGGTCCCTAAGTGAGCAGACTGGAAGCTCCAGAAAGACAGGAGCCACATCTGGTTTTGCTCCCACTTTCCCCAGTGTCCAGTCAGAACTGGGCACTTGGTAAGCAGGTGGTAAGTAGGAGGCAATAAATATCTTTATATCAAGAACAGAGCACGTGCTCAGAGGTTAGACCTTCCCTCGTCTGTGGAGAGAGGAGCTGCAGATGCTACACGCCCCTGTGCTTGCAACATCTCCAGAGTACAGGCTGCAGGGTGGACTACAAGAGGCTGCGGACGGATGAGCAAAAGGGAGGACAGACTTACTTTTCTTGGATGTATGTAACTGCTATCTGAACTTGTGATGACAGAACATGAAGTCAAGGAAATGACCCAGTGAGGGATCCCACCTGCCACACGCCAGGATGCACGCATTGCTTTCGGGCAGGGGCTGCGGAAGGGCCCCTCACAGTGACACACCTCTGAAAGTGGAAAGTGCAAGAGCACCAAGACTGAGGAATCCGTTTCCAACAAACTCAAGGATACAAACAGAAATTAACGCAGAGGAAAGAAAGACAAAAGCATGCATACATCCCAATTCTTTCACAAATAACTTCTGATAACTCACATAAACCCTTGCATGCTTGACATGAGCTCCGGGTGGGCTCTCCTCTGAACCCCAGGTCCTGTCTGACACATTCCTGCTGCAATCTGGATGCAGACAGGTCAGCTTTGTAGGCACAGAAACAACCCAAACCATCTGGGAACTTTGCTGAGTTTTCAGGAGGCCAGCAGGGCTCACCATCGCTTATGTGGGGCCCCAGCACTTGGTTTCCAAAATGAGGTTAAGGTTGATTCCAAATAGCAGAGGTTAACTCTGTCCATGGCATGGGGTGTTTCCATTCAGAGGAAGGATCACAAACAAGAAGCAGGGCCAATGATTTAAGCCTCCGAAGCATTTCCCACACCAGTGCAGTACAAGGCACTCTAGGAATCCACAAGGTCAAAACCACTATTGAAATGATATACCAAGATGCCATTTGCATTTTTCACTCTGTTTTCAGGAGCACACGGTGAAGTTTTCTGAGGCTACAAGACATGCTATTGCAACAGACTGAATGCAGAAGCACATCTAAGAATCTAGCTGCCTACTATGAAACCAGACATCAAAGAGATCTGCAAAATATAAAATGCTACTCTTCTCAGTAACATTGTTTTGGAAAATATTGCTACTTTCAAAAAAATATGTTACGTTAACATATAACAAGTCCACTGTTATTGTTAAATGACTTATTAAGTAAAACTTTCTGTTCTATATGGTAAATATTGAAAGATATAACCCATGTAAACAAAAGGTCCTTAGTATACCATTTTTTAAGTGTAAAGGGGTTTGAGTCTCCCCAAAAGTTTGAGAACTACTGCCCCAGGGGCTGTGCTCCATGGCTTCTACCCCCAGGAGGTTTTTCTATGGGCTGTAGGAAGGAAAATGTGCTGGTTGATTCAGGAAAGACATGCTCCTTCCTGGGTCTCCGAATCTATAGGGTGGGCTCTTCCACCTTCCGCCGAGGGGTCTTTTCCCCCTCGCCGCATTTCCCTCTTACCACTTGGTGGGGACTCCCCGATCTGCCGGCACGGCAGTGAAGATGACCTATCAGCAGCCCGAGCTCGGCGAGGCCTACCGGCGAGGCCCGCACACCCTCCTCGCGGCGGACTCCCCTGCGCGGCCGGCCTGCACAGCCTGGGCGAGGACTCGCCAGCGCGGCCCGCACACCGGGAGACTCTCCGGGCGGCACGCACACCAAGGCAAAGGGGGACCAGGGGAGCCATGTCCAGCCCCCCAGCCCTGTTTCCCCGCGGCACGGGCTGGGGACCAGGCGAGGTCGGTCCCCAGGGAGAACTAGTCCAGGCTTCTCCCTTCGGCCTTCCCAGACTCTCCCCCGCCCCGGGCCGCTCTGCGCGCCTGAGTCGCGCTCGGGGAACGTGTCCCGGACGCCGCGAAAGAGGCTCGCACCGACTCCTCCGGGGACAGGCGTCCGGAGCTTCCGCCCGGCGACGTCGGCTGGCCGGGTCGGTACTCACCGCGGACGGCACGGCGGGGCTCGGACGGCCTGCGCACAGCAAACTGCGGGGCCGCTCCCGTGAGCTGCGCGGTTGTAGCCGCGGCCGCCTCCTCCGCGCTCCGCCCCCCGCCCCCTGGCCCTCCGCCGGTGGGCGGAGCAGGGGCGGGGCCGAGGAGCGGGACCCCGGTCGCGGGAGCTGAGGGCCGAGGGGGGCGGAGTCTGCCGGGCTCCCCCGCCTCCAGCCCGCCCGAGGAACTTCGGCCTGGGCGGGAGGGGGCGTTGCTGACCTGGCAGCCGCAGGAAGCAGATCCACAGCCCCTGGGGCCCGGGTCCGCTCCTGCTTGCCCAGGGCCTGGGAGTAGGGCGACTTGAGCTCACTTTGGGACCTGAGTGTAGCCCCGCAGCTCGCGCTAGGAAGTGAGCCGAAGGGGAGGGGAAGAAATGCAGCTGTTCAAAAGGATTTGGCCACAACGCCACCCTAAGGCGTCATTATTTGGCGCGGGCGCACACGTCTTAATTCTTTTCAAAGCGTGCCATGTGGGTATCGGGGGTTATGCTGACATGACAGGACTTCAGCGTTTCCATGGTTACAAGTGCAAAGTTTGTGTGTGCATTTTTTTTTTTTTAAGTGTGAAAACATTTTATAATGCAGACAGTGCACCTGTCTGAAGTCAGAAAAAAGGCTTAGAGTTGGCACTGGCCCTTCTTCACAGGACCTGCTTTTGATAGGCTGGTTGGAATTGTGCCCTCTCCGGCAAATGTGAGTCCAAAGACGTGATTAGATCTTTCTACGTGAAAGGTGCTGAGGTTTTCCTGCCCAACTTATATGGAAAGTTATTGTAGTTTTCCATCTTTTTTTTTTTTTCTCTTCAACATTACTTTGCATTAGTTTCAGGTGTACAGCGTAATGGTTAGGTAATGTGGTTTTCTATCCTGAGTATCTGAATAAACAGCGCTGACTGCTGCCTGTTACCACGCTCATACTCTGTGCAGGGCCCAATGATTGAACTTTACATGTTATGTAATTTGACTCTGACTTACAACTGCCCTGTGAAGTGAGGAATATTACCCCATTTTGCAAATATGAAATGTCCTATAGCTGGGATTCAGTCCTGGGGCCTGTCTGACTGAAGACCACACTTCTCTCCCCCCACCTTTATTGATTTTAGAGAGAGAGGAAGGGAGAGAGAGAGAGAAACATCCATGAAGAGAACATCAATTGGCCGCCATCTGCATGCCCTCCCTCCACTGGGGATCTGGCCCACACCCTGGGCATGTGCCCTGACCGGGAATCGAACCAGGGACCTCTTGATGCATAGATCGACACTCAACCACTGAGCCACACTGGCCAGGCTGAAGATGACACTTTTTTCATCATCCATAATTTAGAGTACAGATACCCCGTAGTTACATTTAATTTTTAAATATAAAGAGTTATATTTCATTTTGAAAGGGGATATTTACTGTATTTCTAATATTGGAGAAAATGTTCTTCCCACCCAGTTTCTAAATTCCTTCCATTCACAGTCACTGAACAAACTTTCCTTGAGTGTTCGCTATATGCCAGAGGTTCACAACTAACCCTGAAAAATAAAACTAGAGTCCCCTCCTTGGAAGTTAGGGAGACTATGGGGTCAGCAAGAGTGGGTGGAGAGAAGACATCCAGCTAAATGTTGATTCTTACTGAGGCAGCCCTTCAGAAAGCAAAATTTCTTCATGTTCAATGATAACAGACATATAATATGATGATGGGTAATCCTTGACAGAAAGTAATTAAATCAGAACTCTAAAGGGAATTGAGATTTATTAGTAAACACTCTGGCCAAAACCATGAAGGAAATAGTTCCCACATCCCTCCTCCTTGCTGCGTTTGGGAATGCACCAGTGACCTGCAAATCGCAACTCCAGTGTCCTCTTGTCCTTGCTGACTGCTCTGTGGTATTTGACACTGTTAACTAGTCTGTCTTTGACATTTTAACCTCCTTTTGGCTTTAGAGCCCTCTGCTCTCCTGACTTGCCTCTTTCTTGGGCTCTTGCACTGCACTCTGGACTTTCAATCTCCCTGTGACTTCATACACTGATGGTTTTCTTCATCCCTGTCCAGTGCAATCTCCCCGCCACCTACACCAAAGCCCGCTACATCTCATTCACCGACCTTAACCCTCTGCAGATCTCTCTGCTCTTTATTTCCAGCCATGTGTGGGGCATCGCCACCTGGATATTCCAAAGGCCCCTGGCATTTTTCCCATCTAAAGTGGGAATTCAGACTCTTCTCTAACCATCTGTCTGTCCTCTGCTCCCCATGCAGATTTCTCCTCATCCTGAATTCTACCTCTTGAACTGGGCGGTGTGTTCAGAAAGCTAAACATCTAAGGGGTTCAGAGTCATATTACTATGCTCATATGGGGTCTGCCTGAGAAATATTTCTGTCATAACACAAAAGATTCTGTAAGTGGCCCAGAGGAGTGGACCTTCTGAGAGGAAGCCATCCAGGGGCGTGACTGCGATGCACCACAGGTCTGCGCCCAGTGGCAGAGGGGTCTTCAGTTGAGGTACCAGCATTGTTCTTTCTAGCAGCCTTACCACCAGAAGCTCTTGCTACTGTAAGAAGAACCACGAGGATTCGGCTGGAGACCTGTTAAGATCTTAGGAATGTCCCATTACACTCCACTGACTTCGGTTACTTATGTAAATTGAAGTTATTCAGTGTACAGAAAGATCCAAACAACTGGACCCAACTAACTCTGTATTATGCTTTTGATTTTACATGCAGACCCAGAGAAAAGCCCCCAGACTGAAAAGCTACCTCTGTAAGCAGAGGGCGGGAGATGACTGAAGAGAAAGGCAGGCCACTCTAGTCTGGCAAATAACGGGTCTGTTGAGGGAAACTTACATAGGAGGTGCATCTTGGGCAGCTGCAGGACGAAGTGGACACATTCCACACTTCTTTTTTTTTTTTTATCCTCACCCGAGGACATTTTTCTATTTTTTGTACAGATAGAGTGGGAGGGAGAGAGAGGAAGAGAGAGAGAGGGAAACATCGATGTGAAAGGGACACATCAAGTGGCTGCCACCCGCACGACCAACCAGGGCCGGGGACAAACTGCAACGGAGGTACGCGCCCTTAGCGGGAACCAAACCCGGGTCTCTCCGGACCGCAGGTGGACGCTCCAACCGCTGAGCCAAACCGGCCAGGGCCATTCCACACTTCTTGACAGGTGCCAGAGAATTACACAGGGGAAGTGGGGGCAGGATAATCACAGATACTAGTCCGGGAATGCTACCAGGTATGGAAATTGTTTCACATGCCTGATCAGGTCAGGGTACTGGCCTGTTCCAGGGACCAGCACATAGCCAGAGGCAGGCGAAGGGTGCTGATTTATGTCAGAATTAACATCATTTACAATCACACCATCTCCAAGGGGGGGTGTTGGTAAGCAATCTCTGTTCTGGCCCAGGTCCAGCTCGAGGATCTTGGCAGTGGTCACGTCATGGAACCGTCTCTCCTCCACAGCTTTGCAATTCATAATGCATGCTCAGACATATGTACAATAGAAAGAAAGTGATGTAAGAGAAAGGCATTTTACCATAATGGTTCCCATACCCCTTGGTGTGTTGAAAACATACATTCCCATGCTGCACTCTTAGAGAGACCAAGTTTGAGAGTCTAACCATCCTTTGAGAAACACCAGTGGTGGGTCCCAGATTGGGTGTTTCTTAGAATCACAGGGGGCACCTATTAAAAATACAGCCTCCTTGCCCTGGCTGGTGTTGCTCAGTTGATTGGAGTATCATTCTGTACACTGAAAGGTCATGGGTTTAATTCCTAATCAGGGCACATACTCAGGATTGGGCTCAACCCCCAGTCAGGGCGTATACAGGAGGCACCAATCGATGTTTCTCTCTCACACTTATGTTTCTCTCTCTCTCTCCCCCTTTCCCATCCTCTCTCTCTAAAATCCATAAAAACATATCCTTGGGTAAGGATTTTTTAAAAATTATAAAAATACAGCCTCCTGTGTCCCCTCTCTCACAGAATGTCTGGTTCATTCGATCAGGGTGGGATGGTGCCCAGAGTCTGAGGAATCTAAATGTGACAGGTGGTTCTGCTCTAGCATGTCCACAGACTGGCACCAGGGAGCTGCCACCCGGGAATGTACACGCCTCAACGGTGCAACCTTGTCCATTTGTTCATCACCCCATCAGAACCTGGCACATAGTAGGTGCTAAATTCAAGTTCGTTAACCAATTTATGGTCAGTTTCTTCCTTCCCTCTGCTCTTTTGCCCTCTGTCAACCTACATGCTATTGATTATTCTTGTAACACAAAGGGGAGACATCATGTTGGCAATAAATGGAGTATAAGGTTCAAAGGGACCTTGTTCAAAGGGACTCTAAAATGCCAAAGTTCATCACTGAGAGATGTCTTCCTCATACCAGAGGAAGTGTGAAATAAATGTTTTATTCCTCTAAGAAAAACCAAAAAAAGAAAAATAAAGAAAAAAACACATGCTATCCTCATAATAAGGAAATGTAGCTCTTAGCCTCATCTTGGAGCCCACAACTATCTAACTGCCACCCTCCTCCATGCCTGTTATAGCTTTGATATTTTTTTTTATCTTCATTGTTGAATGTATTAAAGATGTTTCTCATTTTTCCCCCACTGACCTCTTCCTCCCCACTCCTGCCCCGCTCCTGCCTTTGCCCACACTGTTGTCTATATCCATTGGTTATGCAAATATTCATATAAGTTCTTTGGTTTATTTCTTCCCACCCCTGAATCCCCTTTCCCTTTGAGGTTTGTCAGTCTAGCAATGAATTTGTACTTCTTAATCCCTTCACCTTTTTCACCCATTCCCCTAATCCCCTTCCCATCTGGCAACCAACAAAATGTTCTCTGTATCTATGAGAATGTTTCTGTTCTGCTTGTTCATTTTGTTTGTAGATTCAATTGTTGATAGCTATGTATTCACTGCCATTTTGTTTGTTCATATTTTTTTATCTTTTTCTTCAAAAAGACCCTTCAACATTTCATATAATAATAGTTCAGTGGTGATGAACTCCTTTAGCTTT